ATCAAAGACTTAAACATAAGACAAGATACAATAAACCTCCTAGAAGAAAATATAGGCTAAATATTATCTGACATATATCTCAAAAATGTTCTCCTAGGGCAGTCTACCCAAGCAATAGAAATAAAAGCAAGAATAAACAAATGGGACCTAATGAAGCTTACAAGCTTCTGCACAGCAAAGGAAACCATAAGTAAAACAAAATGAACCTACGGAATGGGAGAAAATTTTTGCAAACGATGAAACAGACAAAGGCTTGATTTCCAGAATATATAAGCAGCTCATATGACATAATAAGAAAAAAACAAACAACCCAATCCAAACATGGGCAGAAGACCTAAACAAGGAATTCTCCAAGGAAGAAATACAAATGATCAATAGGCACATGAAAAAATGCTCAGTATCACTAATTATCAGAGAAATGCAAATCAAAACTACAATGAGGTAATCACCTTACACCAGCCAGAATGGCCATCATTCAAAAGTCCACAAATGACAAATGCTGGAGAGGCTGTGGAGAAAAGGGAACCCTCCTATACTGCTGGTGGGAATGCAGTTTGGTGCAGCCACTGTGGAAAACAGTATGGAGGTTCCTCAGACTAGGAATAGACTTACCATATGACTCAGTCATCCCACTCCTGGGCATATATCCAGAAGGAACCCTACTTCAAAAAGACACCTACACCCCAGTGTTCATAGCAGCACTATTTACAATAGCCAAGACATGGAAACAGCCTAAATGTCCATCAATGGATGACTGGATAAAGAAGTACTCCATTATACAATGGAGTACTATTCAGCCATAAAAATGACAATATAACGCCATTTGCAGCAACATGGATGTTCCTGGAGAATGTCATTCTAAGTGAAGTAAGCCCGAAAGAAAGAAAAATACCATATAAGATCGCTCATATGTGGAATCTAAAAAAAAATAAAGAAAGAACATAAATACAAAACAGAAACAGACTCATAGACATAGAATACAAACTTGTGTTGCCAAGGTGGTGGGGGGTAGGGAAGGGACAGACTGGGATTTCAAAATTTGTAGATACTGACTGGCAAATGCAGAATAGATAATTAAGATTATACTGTATAGCACAAGGAAATATATACAAGACCTTGTGGTAGCTCACAGTGAAAAAAAATGTGACAATGAATATACGTATGTTCATATATAACTGAAAAATTGTGCTCTACACTGGAATTTGACCCAACATTGTAAAATGACTATAACTCAAAAAATGTTTAAAAATAGTGAACAAAAGACATGAACAGACATTTCAGTGGAAAGGATATACAACTGGCAAATAAATGCTTTAAAAAGATGTTCAGTATTGTTAGACAAATGGCCAAAAGCAATAGCCAAAGCAATCCTGAGAAAGAAGAACAAAGCTGGAAGTATTATATTTCCTGATTTCAAACTATATTATAAGGCTATAGTAATCAAAACACTATGGTATTGGCATAAACAGACATATAGTTCAGTGGAACAGAATACCCAGAAATAAACCCATGCATATACAGTCAACTAATATTTGACAAGAGAGCCAAGGATACTCAATAGAGAAAATACAGTCTCTTCAATAAGTGGGGCTGGGAAAGTTTGAAGAGTCACATGCAAAAGAATGAAACCAGATCCCTATATCACACCAAAATTAACTCAAAATGGATTGAAAAGTTACACGTGAAACCTGAAATTATAAAACTCCTAGAACACGTGGGGAAAAAGCTCCTTGACATTGGTCTTGTCAGTGATTTTTTTTTGGATATGACACCAAATGCACAGTCAACAGAAGCAAAAATAACCAAGTGGGACTACATCAAACAAAAACATCTGCACAGCAAACAATCAACAAAATGAAAGGCAACCTACAAGTTGGAAATAAATATTTGCAGATCACATGTATAATAAGGGATTAATATCCAAAATATATAAGGAACTCATACAACTCAATAGCAAAAAAAAAAAATCCAATTTTTAAAGTGGGCAAAGGAACTGAACAGACATTTTTCCAAGGAAGATATTCAAATGCCCAACAAATATATGCAAAGTTGCTCAACATCACTAATCATCAGGGAAATGCAAATCAAAACCACGATGAGATATCACCTTACACCCGTTAGAATGGCTGTTAGCAAGAAGACGAGAGCTAACAAGTGCAGGTGAGGATGTGGATGGAGAAAGGAAAAACTTGTACACTATTGTGGGAATATAAATTGATACAAGCCACTTCATATGAAAACAGTATGGAGTTTCCTTAAAAAAATTAAAAGTAGAACTACACGATCCAGCAATCTCACTTCTGGCTGTATATTCCAAGGACCTGAAATTACTATCCTGAAGAAATAGCTGCAGCCTCTGCTCATTGCAGCTTTATTTACAATAGCCAAGGTATGGAAATAACCCAAGTGTCCATCAACAGATGAATGGATAAGATGTGGCGTATATATGGAGTGGAATATTACTCAGCCACAAGGAAGAAGGAAATCCTGGCATTTGCGACAGCATAGGTGGACCTTGAGGGCATTATGTTAAGAAAAATAGGACAGAGAAAGACATACTATATGACCGCATGTGTAGAATCTAAAAAAAGAAAAAAATCAAAAAAACAAACTCAAAAAGCAGAACAGATTAGTGGTCGCCAGAAGCAGGCAGTAGGGGCTGGAGTAATTGTGAAGGTGGTCAAAAGGTGCAAAATTTCAGTTGTAAATAAGTTCTGGGGATGTAAATAACAGGATGATGACTGTAGTAAACAGTACTGTATTGTATATTTGGAAGTTGCTAAGAGAAAGATCTTAAAAGTTCTCATCACAAGGAAACAGAAGTTTCTAACTTTGTGAGGTAATGGAATTAACACTAACTTTATTGTGGTAATCATTTCACAATTTATACATGTATCAAAGCATTATGTTGTACATGTTAAACCTATACAATGTTATATGTCTGTTATATCTCAATAAAACTGGGGGGGGTGGAGTAGTTACATTTTTCTTTGTGTAATTTCTCCCATGAACACATAATGAGCTCGTCCTGAAGTAAGTATTTATAAATCAGATCTTGCTCAGCTGGTAATTAGAAACCACTTTCTGTGTTGTCACTGGTATGAGGGGGACTCTGTAGTCAGACTTTCCAGGTGTTCAGCTGGTGCCTCCGCTCTGCTTCAGCACACTTTGTGGTTTGGGCTCTTATTTTTTCTTTTGGACACAAGAAGTACAAAATCTGCTGAATTTCAGCATATCCCTCTTCCTTAATGTATTATTTTCTGGAGATTTGGGGAAAATTTCCACCTTTAATGAAAATTACTACTGCTTGTATTTCTAACCTAACTTGACACCTTCCTCTTCAGTAAAGAAAGTTTCCCTGAGTAGGCCCCCACT